ATATTGCGATATATTGTGATTTTTTTTACCAAAAATTCTATGAAATAAAAACCTCTTACTGAAAAAAAAGAAAAGCTAATGTTCACTTACAATGCCAATGCTACCCTTACCCTCTGGCGCTCAAGAGGTAGAGGAGCCAAATGGCTGGCTCACTGCTGGCAACTAGTGGTCAGAGGCTGAACTATAACATAAAAATGAACGGTTGGCAAAAAGGTTGACATTTTAAAACTTAATTAAAAATCGATACAGGGCTTTAGAATATCGATACAGTATCGGGAAATGAAATATCGTGATATTTCAGTGTATCGATATTTTCTTACACCCCTACAAACTGTAGAGAAAAATTTATTTATTTAGTCATCAGAGAGAGATGAAGAGTCAGAGTTCAAAAATATTGCTTAAAGACTTCCCCTTTGATGTCACTTCCTGTTTCACTTTTTCTGAACTAAGTTCAAAGAAATAATGGCAGTTATGTGTCAAAATGGGTAAAAAAATGTGTTTTATGCCAAGTTGCTTACATATAATTGTTTTCTTTGACTTTTTGTGCATGAAGAATATACATGTCACAGGCCCTTTAACACAATAGTTTTATAGTGGCTCAGAAAGTACTGCCAATGTATGTAGTGACTGTTCAAACATTTATTCAAGAGTTTACTCTCTTATGTCGAGGAAGTATAAGTTAGGACCCCCGCTTCCTCAGTCAGACTGATTTCAACACCTGCTGCTGTCAGTTTATTTTTTATTTATTTCAGATGAGTGTAATTTATCCAGACCACCTAATCTTATTAGCCACACCTGCACATGCACACCTTGATGTCTGCAAACATTTTTATATCATTTTTTTACTTTAAGTCATTGCGAATGTCTGATAAGTCATGATGCAGAACTGAATCACTTGAGTCACATTAGGACTGTGTTTGAGTATTGCAGTCTGAGTTATTCATAGGGCTGACCAGCAAGTTGCTGACTAAGGCTTTGCTAGCTCCGTGTGGTGCAAACAGTTTTTTTTATTTGGGTCATTCACTAGCTGACCACTGATTCTCTTTTCCACTGAAATGAAAGGCTTCATGACAGTTAAAGTTTGTGGTTCTTTCTATTTGAAGAAGAGTTTTAAAGTAATTCCCATAACGTCCTCTTTGACTGACGGTGTCTCCAGTTATGAAGGTTTGAGAGCGTTATTTTGTGTAGCTCGCTTTTATTGCGACCCTAATCTTTGCTACATCAGCGTTCCTTTATACACTTGGCACTGACTGTCTTGCTGCTCGCTGGGAGGTAATGATGGCATTATCATTGATCCCCACAAAGTAAGCCGAGAGCAATCAATACTTCACCGTGTGTTCTCTGCACAAAGAGGCAGATTAATCTGACTTCAGCAGAGTGACAATATTGTGCAGATTAGAAAATTGCAACAGAAGAGATTGAGTTTGGTTTATATGCGTGCGTTGCTCCCGCTTCCCACGGACGGCCACAGCTAAAGCTTTAAGGCAGCATGCTTTTTGGCTCCAGATTAGGCCCAGCTTTTTGCCAACATCTGTCTGTCAGGAGGCTTTTGACTCTGGCAGTCATGCACGCAGTTAATCAGACGGTTGTGATAGTTGCCAGTCGGGTCACTCTGCACCGCAGGCACATCACTGTGCCGCAGGACAGGAGCCAGCGTTCAAAGGGTCGTCTGTCTTGTGAGTCTTTGCTGTTTGTGCAGCCTCCCAACTCCCACGGAAAGGAGGCCTGGAGTTAGTGTAGCATCAGAGACCATCCCTGCGTAACGTTAATCTTGGAGCACAAGTTTTTACGTAGTCAGATGCTTAACCCTCCTGCTGGCCTTGGGTTAAAATGACCCATGAAACCTATTTAAAGTCTCGGGTCATTTTGACCTAAGGGCAGCAGGACGGCTCAATCTTTAGCCTTAAATATTTCAAGTTTCTGCACAAATCATACCTTTTTTAAATAATTAAAAATGCACACCTTCAAACTGGAGCTGGGTATTAAAACAATTCTTGTACACAGTGGTATCCAGTGTATAAGTGGATAAACGCACAGTTTGATCAGTCAGATTCAGAGTTGTGGGTGTTTTCTCATAGACACATCAACATTTGTATCTATTTCTGACTATTAATCCAACAAGTAATTAGGAAAGTTCCTAATGAGACAACAACACAAACACTTTAATCCAGTGCATAATGGTTTCTAAACATCTGAAATTTAAGTCGGATAAAAACAGCAGGCAACCATGATTACTTGACTCAGAAAGATTTTTGTTTTTAAGATATCTGTCTCAGCTGTGATCTAATCAGACAGAAATGAAAGCTTGGAAACTGCAGACGTTCAATTCACTGGTGGCTCAGGGTGGAGTATCCTTATCAAGAGGACCTGACATGTTGGTGAAAGGACAACAGTTCCTACATTTCTCTGGCCTTTGTGACTCGGTCTACTGAAACATAGCATAAATGACTGTTTATCCTTTGATTTAGAAGTTGATATCCATCATCTTTGATGATTTCTCACCTGACCACTCATAGGATAAATATTCTGTTCTGATTATTCGATTATAAACATATTTTCAATATATTAATACATTCAGAGGGAGTGTGGCCTTATAAAAAAGAGCCCTGTTTGAAATAAA